ATTCCGTCCACTCGGAACATGCCTCATGATGAATCATTACGGACATACTCTCAACCTCGGCTTGGAATTTTGTGATTCAAACAGTAGTCTACAGTTGAATTTTGTGTACAATCGTATCTGATGGACAGTTCCTACGTAGTAGAAAAGCACACTCTAATTTACTACGAGACTGACGTTTCTCCGAACCTGCCCAATTACATCTCTGCGAACGGTTCGTTTGCAACCACTTTCAGGCTGGTTCTCACTGCCGGTCTCACTTCCATTTATCGATGTGTGTTGAGGGTGAACCAGGAGTATTGAAATGATGCTGGGGGTTGTGATGACAATGACAATACGGATGAGAGTGAGGATGAATGATGATAATTGCAAGAAAACCAAATGGAAAAGGTGGGGACAGAGAACGCATCCTTGGATTGTTTTTCATCATGTTGTTTGTGTTGTGCACATGTGCATATCGTGTGATTTGCAACCGCGCTTATCCTCATCCTCCTGATCAACATCCTGGAGCCACATAGTTATCAAATGCACTTAGCGTCAAGTAAAAACACCTTTCAATACAATTATGTTCTCTTTTCCCATCTATCGTGATCCAACTCCAGGTCTCTCCCTCTACGATTGTTCACCCAATCGAAAGTAGGACTATCAGTCGAGGAGACCCTTTTATCATTTGTTTTCACACACTTGATTCGTCCCATATACTAATCCCAGGAAAGAAGTGGGTTGCTTCACGCCTGTTCTGCTTCGTTTCAGGTGACCGTCAGTCGTTGTCCCGGTTTCCTATTCAGCAAGGTTACTGGATCTTCTGCGTCCGAGTCGAATGATACGAACGCTTCGACCACAGTATATGGATCCGCAGCCGAGGGAGATTTGGATGCTGAATGGACTGCGTATCACTCGTATCGCGTAGCGCCTTCGGCACAGACCATTTGGACCGAGCTCCGTTCGCGCTCTGGTCTAGTCGATATGGATGCAAGTATGTCACCTCGCTATCTTTTACTTTTCCAACTTGACATGAAAGACAGAATGATAAAATCCGAATTAGAAACGGACACTGTCAACTGCCCTCTACCTAGAGAAACGTGTTTTGCAAAACCGTAGACATGATGCATATGCTGAGAGACTGTGAAACCCATTGTGAAACTGGAATATCGATCCGTTGTAGCGGACTATGACAGAATTAGATCGATCACGTGAGTCTAAAATGGGATTTAAATACGGTTGAGCCTGTCCGGAAAACGCAGATAAACAACGCTAGTACCATAGTAAATCAAGCAAACACACTGGTATCCAAGGTTGAAGAAATGTCTGCAGTATTGACCATCGGTTATGTTAAACACAATGCATTTATCTCGTCTTACAAATTGCATGACAGTTTAGCAATTCCTTCATCAACCGATGATAGAATGCTACCTTTCATACATTATACCATTGAGATGACAAGGGAACTGGAAGAGCCCTTAGTGATGCCTGAAAGTTAGGTTAAATACTATGTCATATAGCTAGTATGGATGTTTACTGACACTGTCGTACTTTGTTGATTTGGCGGTAGTTCAAGTAATAAGCATGATCATCTGCGATAGCCACAACGATCGTAACAAGCTGAATTCCCTTGTGAATTGAATTTGATTGTGTGGTCAGAATTATAATCAGTACTTAAAACAGAATCGGCCGTTCGGAGACATCAATCATCAACCCCCACATCATGCAATCTGCGGACCACCAAAAGTGCTTTAAGTTGACGCACTATTGCTTCCCATCGTCGCACCGATAGTATTCCACCGCGCTGGCCTACCAAACACCTGTTCCACTTATCCATTGATCCCAGAAGATAATGACGTAAGCAGTTCTGTCGCATTCCTGGATCGAATTGAAGAGGCAAAGCTTAAACCAAAAGAAAAATAGTGATGTTTGACTTCACATCACTGTTCGCCAATTTATCGAGATTACTAACTTTAAAGCGCATGCGCCACCACATAAGAGGTGACCTCTGTCTTCGAAAAAGGTCGCCATTGTCACTGTCTAACATTATGGAGCTGGTTAAGTTCTGCATGGAACCACATCACTATATCGGCAAATAAAAAGCACTCCAATGGGATCACCAATCTTGGCTCTGCTAGCAGACGTGGTGATAAAACGGTTTGAAATCATAGCATTTGATGGATATCGTTCTCGTTTCTGGATCGGATATGTAGGCGATATCTTTTAAGTACAGCCGGCAGTATAAATGAGGCAGTTCCATTGTGGGTTAAATATGGTTGCAACATGTGCATACTTCACCTACGATGAACAAACTGGTACGGGATTCGCCTTCTTGGATATTCTCATCGTACGAAAGCCGGGGAGAAACGCAGAAACCACTGCTTATAGTAAACCGAAAGCGATCCATCAACTGCTGAAGTGCAACAGCAAAGAACCCCCTGGGTCACCTAAAAAGCTGTGCGCGCGCTTCAATACGATACAACACACAGTAACTCTGGAATCAAGAACGAGCTCGACCGATGCAACCGTTTCATTCAAACTTATATTCCAAGAGTTTCCTTAGAGGAAAAAGAAAGTCAATGGATGAATAAATAAAGACCACCGGTACATAAAAAAGACGGGATAAAAACTGCGGGTTCGCTTACACCAACACGGTAGCTCTACAACGCGGTGATCCGAGTTCACAGATTGAGAATCACTGCTCAATGACAGATCATGGGGTGAAAATCAACGATGCCGAAGTAGTGACGAGGGCAGAGAGCAAGGGCAAATGTCTGATTTGAGTGACTCATTCAAATGGATGAACGATACGCGAGGATCGCACGACCGATGAGGATAGTAGGCTTGATAACCAAACAGACAAATGAGGCACAAACATTCCCAATTCGTTTACGCACACCACAGTTTGGCAGCGAGTTCTAGTCTGGATTGAAACTACAATACGTACTATCACTCATCGCTTGCTCTTCTCTTCAAGGTGTTAAGGCACAACAACATCGGCATTGATGCTGGCTGTCGAAAAGCAACCCAAAACAGAAACTTTAAGACTTTGAAAGCAGCCTTGCGTTTATTTTTCATACGACGTTCAATAGGATCCACTATACTCCCACCATTTAGGCGTGATAAATTTATTGTCACACTCGTTGTGGGGTTTAGTACCAGCAATCTTGTTTTATCGAACCGGGTAAGTATGTGTCATGTCCTGCTTAGATCGAACGGTTTCGCACGTGGCATATTCTCATCTTTATCGGTCGTATCCTGACCGAGTGACATTGCCCAGTTTGTAACCCTTGTCGTGAACATAATCATTGATGTGTTGTTCACATTCGTATTTCTCATACTCACTCGATGTGCATGTGTGTGTTTTCTCGTGCAGTTTCTGTCTTCCATTTGACAACTCACTGATTCCTGGAGCCGGAATAGGACAGCTCAAGACTGAATCAAGAACCGGTCATCACAAGGTGATCTAATTTGAATAGTAATAATAGCATTCGATTGATGCATTTAAATCACTGTGCATACTTCCTAAAGCGTGGGACTAATTTCTTCACTTTAGTTCGCACAGTCATTCCCCACTGTCGTCCGACGGCTCGAATGGTTGTTTTTCTATTCCCGATTTGGTTGACCAATAAGATGGAAGTAAACCGACAGGTTAAAATGCCGAGAGCACCATTCAGATAAGAACAACAAAATAAACTAGATCGGTGTAGCATGCATGTAATTGTACGAACACCGGTGTCTACAACACAATCTTATCATTCATTATCTCGGATCATTGATTGGTTTGACTAGGAGGTCTCCAACTCAGAAGTCTAGTGCTACCTTTATGACCCACTCTCTTTGTCAGTACTGTCATACCCACCGCTTGGTCACCTTCAAGCTTGTTCCAACCACTCCTTGCTTCAGGAGACAGTACAAGCCAAGGAAGCCTCTCCATTGACATGCTTATCTGGCTCCACACCGATGTGTGAATTTCTTCTGACCTTCTGGCTTCAATCACCGGATCCTCTTGCATTGTTTTTATCCGGGTAGCAGAGATCGGGGGGATTCAAAGACATTGCAGTGACCACCCCACCACCTTTGTCCTTTCTTTTTCACCGAACTTCATCGGTGACCCCTAAAGCGTTGGAAATCCCCGTCTTTGGTGACCTGCGAAATCGCATTCTATGGTTCCTTGCACCAAGTCGTGTCATGCATGCCCGTTGGCTCCAATAAACTCTCAAAATAATAGTAATAATTTACGGACAAAAATTACCAGTCTAGCCAGTTTCAATTCGACCTGCCTTGAATACTACCGAGCACAACACGGTTGACGTACAAGCCAGAAAAGTCATCAGACTGGAGTTCGCAGTGAGCGATCATTCAGTCTGTCTCACTCTCTTCAAACGATCTACAAATACGATCATTCAAAAGTGACAAGGTATTCACTCCCCCGACTTGATGCTTTCTCCTCTTGAATGTAGCGCAGACGCGCATACTATATACAGGTATTGACCAAACTCGTGCAACATCCTAGTTTTCATTACATTTGTTCCTCT